ACTCACAATCCTAACCGGCCCATCCAATTAATGTAGAAACCTACGACGGCTATAATATAAAACCCTAATTTATACTGTAATTAAAACCCTAATTAGATGTATTTACCTAATTACCCTATTCACCATTAAATACTTAACAAATAATCTAATTGAACAAAATAATAATTAGTAAACCCAATTAAACCAAATAAGACACACATAAAATAAGATACACATAGAATAATTAAACCAATTATACTTAAACCATTAATGCCAATTAAATAATTAAAACACTAACAAGTAATTCCAATCAAATAACTAAAAATAAATATCATTTAAATAAATTAAATCACCACAAAAGAAAACAATTAAGCACCTAATAAAAAAAATAATGACACATAATCAAATAAAATGCACTTAAATAATAAATTAAATACCATTAAATACCAGGAATATCTTTTTTAAAATTAGGGGTATTACAAAGCCAGGTGGGAACCCGACATAGAGAGGTGGTTCACCTATCTTTCCTACGGAGTTCCCGACCTCCTGAAAGCATAGCTTTCTGTCTTAAGGAAAAGACAAAGAAAGTTACCCATCTCGACTTGCAGATCAAGGATCTCAAGGGGAAAATGGAAGATGTAATGCAGGCTATGAAAGGGAAAGGTCCTGCCGCCGTAGATGATTTGGTACAAAGGACCAACTTGCCTTTCAGCCCCGCCGTTATGAAATGTCCACTACCTAACAAGTTCAGGATGCCTTTGTTCGAAAGCTTCGATGGGACCAAAGATCCCCTCGATCACCTGGAAACTTTTCAAGCTCTTATGCATTTACACGTTGTGCCAGATGAAATCATGTGCCGAGCTTTTCCCACTACACTTAAGGGATCAGCGAGAGTTTGGTTCAACAAGTTGAAGCCAGGAACCATCAACACTTTCGAAGAATTGAGTAAGCAGTTTGCGAGCCACTTCATTGCAGGTCAGAGGCATATGAGGCCGGCTATCTACCTGTTTACCGTGGAGCAACAAAAGGAAGAGTCGATTCGGGAATACATCACTCGATTCAACGCAGAGATGTTGCAGGTAGAAGAAGCGGACGACAAGGTAGCTTTGACCGCTTTCATAGGATGACTCCAAACCTCCAGATTCTTGTTCTCCTTATCAAAAGAACCTCCCACCAGCATGATAGAGTTGCTAGTCAGAGCGCAAAAACACATCAACGCTGAAGACACCATGAGTGCACGGAAGGAAGGAGAGGACAAGAAGAGACCAGCCCCTTTCGTCAGGGATAAAAATAATACCAAATATAAGAAATCGTTCTTCAGCCAGAGTGACAGGACATATCATGAGAATGACTCAGATGAGTATACCGACTAGAAATTGTCTCGCGGCTAGAATTAGCCTTATCAAGTCATTCACAATAAAGACTGGGGGCATCTTAGTTAATCATTTTAAATTGAGAGTAGCTTCATCACGTGTTATTTTGTTTTTAATAATGATGGTCTTTAATAAAATTCCTTTTAGTTTATACGTGCAGTATCCCCGTACTATAAGGGATAGTAAATGAGTGTCCTGTATTATAAGGACCCGGGCTGAATGAATCCCGTAATCCGTATCCCCGTACTAAAAGGAGATAGTAAATGAGTGTCCTGTATTACAAGGACCCGGGCTGAATGAATCCCGTAATCCGTATCCTCGTACTATAAGGGAATAGTAAATGAGTGTCCTGTATTACAAGGACCCGGGTTAAATAAATCCCGTCATCCATATCCCTGAACTATAGGGGATAAGTATCTTGTATTATCAGGACTCGGGTTGAATGAATCCCGTAATCCATATCCCTGTAATATAAAGATAATAAATGAATGTTCTGTACTACAAGGACCTGGGTTGGATGAATCCCATAATTAATATCCCCTTACAATAAGGGATAGTAAATAAAAATCCTTTATTAAAGAGGTGAGCTGAGTAAAACTCGTAAAGTTCAATTTCCTTACTAAAGGGACAAAACTCGTATAATTTATTCCCTTATAAAAGGAAGAGTACTGTTCCCTCGGGGAAAAAAAAAAAAAAATTATTATTATTATTACTATTCATGAACAGTACCCGCGGGTACTGTTCCCTCGGGTGCAAAAAAAAAAAAAAAAAAGGAACTATTCAAGAACAGTACCTGTCGGGTGAAAAAAAAAAAAAAAACTATTCAGGAATAATACCTCCCTCGGGTGCAAAAAAAAAAAAAAAAAAAAAAAAAAAAAAACACCCTGAGTTACTATTCACATGAATAATGCCTGCGGGAATAGTACCCGCGGGTACTGTTCACCGGGGTTGGAAAAAAAAAAAAAAAAGAAGAAGAGAAAAAGAAAAAGAAAAAGAAAAAGTATTATTATTATTTATTACATTCCCAAAGCTAGACGTGCAAGCTTGGGAATGGGGGCAACTGATAGGAAAAAATATAAACCTACCCTACCTTCGATAAGATTGATTAAATTTCATTATCAAGGATAATGAAATCAAATCTGACGTGGTTCAACAAGTAAGAATAATCCTACTATAACTAGAGGAGGTCAAAAGGATTAAATCATATCCCAACAAATCTGGTAATAAATCTCCTATGATTTCGCATAAGCGGAAGATAAGGTCAACCATTGATATCAGCGGAACGATTTTGATTCCAATCGACAGTCATAAATAGGGCATCAAGCCATTAAAGAAGGTACGACGTAAAAACTATTATTAATCCCTGCCTTCTTTTTAGACCCCCGTGACTAATTTGATCGTCGGAGAGCTCTTGGCAGGCACCACACCGGTGCCGTCAAGGTTCATCGATCTTCTCCTCTCTTCCTTGCAGGAAAGCGGTATCGTATCGGACTGCGCGAATTTCAGCCTCAATATTAGTAATTCTCATATCCACGTTAACAACTTTCATTCTCCAAAAACAGACACTCTATCAGGTTCTTCGGATTTTCGCTTTTCATGAACACTCATTTGCTTATCTGAAAATCATCACTACATTCATTTCCCTCCATTGTAGCAAAATATCATTATTCATTTCCTCCAATTTCGAAATTCAAATGTCAAACAATATCTTTGCAAATTATTAAAAAGATAGGATTGATATTATAATTTTAAACAATACATTATTCATTATATGGATTAAAAAATATACAATTAATGTTATATTACATAACTTTAGACAATGCATTATCCATTATATGTATTAAAAAAGTTAGGATTAATATTATAACTTTAAACAATACATCATCCATTATATGAATTAAAAGTTAGGATTGATGTTATGTTTCACGATATGCCAGCGATATTCTAACTTGAATTCACCGCCTGTTTGATTACTAAACACCTCTTTAGTTTCTGTCATATACACAAAAACATAAGAATAAATTAAAAGTCAAATATTTAAAATATTTACGAATTATATTTAAAACAATAAATAACTTATCATATATCACTGTGGCATTTCATTTCGATGTTATTCATGCAACCAGAAAATTTGCTGATTTGTTTTTGGATGGTGGACCAACGATTCATTAAAGCTTTTGCATTTCGCGAAGATGAAACACCAAGATGTTGTACATAACTTTTGAGGATTCACTTTCCATAACTTTTTCTTCCATAACTTTTTCTTACTTTGATCTGTCCCCGTAATCGTATTGGAGAAAATGGATATTCATGCCCAACATAAAAGCCTCATTTTTGGTTGTGGACCAATTTGAATTTCGGATAATCGGTTGTTGTGTAGAATGTTGGGAGTTACTTGATCGAAGATCCATGAAATCGTATTGAGTTTGAAAATAATAGCTAAATTTGAGAAAATAGAACATGAAGTAACTTGAATGGTAAAGAATAGAGATGGGTTAGATGTGTGAGGTGAATTGTGGTAGGAATTGAGGTATTTATAGAAGAAAAATAAATTTTATTTTTTTAAAAAAATTTTAAAATTTTTTTATTTTTAAATTATAACTGTTAAGGCACTGTTTGTGTCAGTCAAACATTGCCTTAACGGCCAAATGTACTATTTGCAGCAGAATTTTAAAATTTAAATTCTAAAACAAAAAAAGTTAAAAAAATATCAAATTTTAACTGGAAAAAACAAAAACAAAAAGTTTTTTAATTTATTTTTGACTTAAATCAAATTATTTTTGGACAAAAAGTGCCTAAACAATATATTTTTTATTTAATAATTTTATTTATATTTTTCTTTTAAAAAATGAGTTCAAAATAACCCATTTTTGGGTCTGATTTAAAAAAAAAAAGAAAAAAAAAAAAGGCTCCCCCCAAAACGACATCCTAAGGGAGCCGGCGTGACCCAATATTTTTTGTTTTTTTGGGAGTATATCCGTAATTTCTAATTTATTATCCTTTTACACTTCAAGATGAATTGCCTAAATTTACAACTTTTGTTTCCAAAACTTCCGAAGCACCTTTTTTGTAACCCTACTTTTGGATGAGCCGTCTAAATTTAGAACTCTTGTTTCCAAAACAACTTTTTAGTTCTCTAAATATTATTGAAACTCAGTTTGGAAAATATTATTTATAAAAAAACAGTTTCAAGCACAACAAAAATAATTTTTTTTATCACTTCCAACTTCCAAAACAGTTATCAAAGGTGGTGTAACCTAAAGTTTTGTTTATTTTTCTTTTTCATTTATAGAATTTTTTTTTATTTCTTTATTTCAATGGAAAAGAAAACCAAGCTCTTTTGGGCCAGTACTAAGCCCAAAAGCCCAAACTAGTACTAACCCTAATCCAATTTTAGGATCGTTTTGATTGATGTAAAAAGCAAGGAAAGGGTGATTCTTATGTAACTTATGTTCCTGTCACACCAATGTGGCTTTACTTTTTCATTTTATAGAAATTTTTAAAGACCTTCGATTCAATCGTTGACTCTATTCTTGCAGTGCAAGGAAGGTCGGACAATTTCGTAATTCTTCCTCACTTTAAAGGGCATTAATGTAAAACAACTTTCATCGCATAATCCATGTGAACCCTAGCTCTCGCGGAGTCTTTTTGGCTATAAAAAGGCATGCACTCCCCAATAGCTATTGCGCTTTATCTGCTTCGCTCTTGCATTGTTGTTGCGGCTTAGGGTTTCAGTCTTCCCTTCTCTCTCTCTGTGATCTACGAAGGTATATTCATATATCTCTAAGTTTTTGATTCAATTCTACATGTCTGATTTGTTGATGTTATTTTTAGATCTAATATGTGTTTAGATGAATCGATTGGTTTTGTTGTTGATTATTCTATTGTTGTATGGTTGTGGACTCTTCATAGAACTCAACTCAATAAACAAATCAAGTTCTTAATCAAATTTGCTATAAAATTTTGTTGCTTCAGTCACGGGATTTATGCAAACACGCTCACACACATAAATTAATGTTTCTGAATGTACACTTTTAGGTGACTCTAATTAATGTTTATGACTATTCTTATTTTTAACTATTTTTAATTTCGGTATTAGAATTTGCTTCCCAATCTATAGTCTAGTATTTGATTAATTGGTTTGATTTATGTATTTATCTCCCCATCCCGTATTTTGATTATTGGTTTGTAGTATTTTGATTAATTGGTTTGATTTATGTATTTATCTCCCCATGAATAGGGATTTAATTTTTGCGATCTCAATCGAGTAGATGATTAGATCTATCAGGTTTTTTTTTTTTTTTGTGTGTGTGTGTGTGTGTGTGTAATACTGAGTTCTTGTTTTGATATATTTTTTCTGCTTGAATTATGTTTATGCGATATTAAATAATTTGATTTTTTTATTGTCATTCCTGTGGAATGACTAGGTACTTTCTTGGTTGTTGGTTGTTTTGAGAAATATTGGTTTACCTATTTTTGGGTTCAAATTGCAGTTCAATAATATCTATAATTTTTACTCCAATTTTCCTTGGAGTTTTTATATTTGTTTGTTGGCTTCTACATAACTTTGGAGTTTTTATATTCCAAACTCCTTTGATTTTGTGTTGTCAATATTGTACTAACTATAAACTGATTGAAATGGACTTGTTAAATACTTACTTTCACTCTGGTTTATTTTTGAAAATTTATCAATTGTGTAAACGAATTGAAACACTCTCTCTAAATGAGATCACTCTAGTTTATTTTTGAAAATTTATCAATTGTGTTTTAGAGATATGTATGGAAGGCAATTTAGTTTTTGCTTCCTGGAGTAACTTGCAGATATGTATGCAAATTTCTATGCTTTCGTTTCATGTGGGAATAATCTGATTTTTTGCAAACCATGCTATCTTATAAACTGTTGAGGATGTAAAGCTCCTTTGAATAGCTAAATTATTCCCATGGTATTTGTGTTGTGGTTTTGTTATTATTGTATTTGGTCAGTGTGAAAACTGTTTGAGGATGTAAAGCTCCTTTTCTAGTAATTGCAATTTTTTTTTTGGTGCATTTCATCGAAGTGTTTTCTTTTTCTTTTTCTTTACTGTTTATGTTTTTTATTTTCAATGAACATGCCACTTGAGAACTGATAGATTGTTATGTCGTATTCAATTTTGTTTTGCAGTTTAATTCCTGTGATCTATAATGGGTAAGGAGAAGTTTCACATCAACATCGTTGTTATTGGCCATGTCGACTCAGGCAAGTCGACCACCACAGGACATCTGATCTACAAGCTTGGTGGTATTGACAAGCGTGTTATTGAAAGGTTTGAGAAGGAAGCTGCTGAAATGAACAAGAGGTCATTCAAGTATGCGTGGGTGCTTGACAAGCTCAAGGCTGAGCGTGAACGTGGTATCACAATTGATATTGCCTTGTGGAAATTTGAGACCACCAAGTACTACTGCACAGTCATTGATGCTCCTGGGCATCGTGACTTTATTAAGAACATGATTACTGGGACATCCCAGGCTGACTGTGCTGTCCTCATTATTGATTCCACCACTGGTGGTTTTGAAGCTGGTATTTCCAAGGATGGCCAGACTCGTGAGCATGCTCTTCTTGCGTTCACTCTTGGTGTCAAGCAGATGATTTGCTGCTGTAACAAGGTTAATTATATTCTAGTGCTTGTTATTTTTGTTGTCTTGTCTTTTATTTTTTTATTTTTTATTTGTGAATTGTTTAGCAATGCTCTCATGGCATGTGTTTTGATATACCTATTCCCCCTCCTCTATGAAATGGCGCCCTTCAATCTGCCAATGCACTCTCTTCATTATATGTCAGGGATATCTTGGATTATATAAGTGCAAATTGAGTTGGGTGTTCATTTCAAGGACTCCTTATGATATTTATACCGGGATTGTAGTTCAATTGGTTAGAGCACCGCCCTTTGGGGTGGAAGCTGCGGGTTCGAGCCCCGTCGGTCCCGATGGATGTCATAAAAGTTAAAATCCCATTTGCATTCCTTTAAATTAATGTTTTGCATCAGATTTATTATTTATTTTTTGCTTTAGTGTTGCTGATTATTAGGTGAAATGTCTCTTTATTTTTCAAATACATCATTTTAGAATCTAGACCTGTTATGTGGTATGCGTATTAATAGTATGGTAAACTGTGATTCATTTTTGAATGTCTTTATGAGTATTTTTATGTTAGTGTCATTCCATGGCAGTTCATGTTTAGAACCTCAATGTCTTTATGAGTATTTTTATGTTAGTATTATGCCATGGCAGTTCAATGTGTAGAAAATTGTTCGTAATTTAACAGTGTCCCATTATGTACTATGCAGTCACATTTGCTATTCTATATTTGCATTTTGCTCCTCATCTTGATGGTACATCGTAGCAGGTTGTGTCCATGCTATTTGTTTTTTTAAATTCGAGACTCTGATGTTCATGCAAGTCTGTATATATCTTATTTGCAGATGGATGCCACCACTCCCAAGTACTCTAAGGCAAGATATGATGAAATTGTGAAGGAAGTCTCATCTTACCTGAAGAAGGTCGGCTACAATCCTGAAAAAATACCTTTTGTCCCGATATCAGGTTTTGAAGGTGACAACATGATCGAAAGGTCAACAAACCTCGACTGGTACAAGGGCCCAACTCTTCTTGAGGCCCTTGACTTGATTTCAGAGCCCAAGAGGCCATCAGACAAGCCACTGCGTCTCCCACTTCAGGATGTCTACAAGATTGGCGGTATTGGCACTGTCCCAGTGGGAAGGGTTGAGACTGGTGTTATTAAGCCTGGTATGGTTGTCACTTTTGGACCTACTGGGCTGACCACTGAAGTCAAGTCTGTGGAAATGCACCATGAAGCCCTCCAGGAAGCTCTGCCTGGTGACAATGTCGGGTTCAATGTGAAGAATGTTGCAGTGAAGGATCTCAAGCGTGGTTATGTTGCATCCAACTCAAAGGATGATCCAGCCAAGGAAGCTGCTAACTTCACATCCCAGGTCATTATCATGAACCACCCTGGCCAGATTGGGAATGGGTATGCTCCGGTTCTTGACTGCCACACCTGTCACATTGCTGTCAAGTTTGCCGAGCTCTTGACGAAGATTGACCGCCGATCTGGCAAGGAGCTTGAGAAGGAGCCCAAGTTCTTGAAGAATGGTGATGCTGGGATGGTGAAGATGATTCCCACCAAACCCATGGTGGTGGAAACTTTCTCGTCGTACCCCCCACTTGGACGATTTGCTGTCAGGGACATGCGTCAAACCGTTGCTGTTGGCGTTATCAAAAGTGTGGAAAAGAAGGATCCTTCTGGTGCTAAAGTCACCAAATCTGCTGCCAAGAAGAAGTGACTTTTAAAGTTGGGAGTTTGCAGTGGAGATGGTTTACACCATTTTCATTCTAAAGACCTGCAACATTATTCTAGTTTTATGGTGATAAGTTTTTTAGTTGGTTGCTTTGTTTGCTGCAGTTTTTTGTCTCCGTTGTCTGGTTGCCACACTCAGAATTGGGTGTTAGACCGGCGGTGGCGACAAAATTCTTATCCCGTTTAGTACAAGTTTTGACTATGTTTTTCTATTGATGGTTTTGTTATTGGATGATTTCGGTTAAACCTTTATAATATTTTTATGTTGCTTTAATATTTGTTTTAGTATGCCAATTAAGTTAGTGTGTGGTTTTGGTTTGCCCTTTATTATGGTCTCGTTCTTTTGGTTTTTTATCACCAATCTCTGGAACTTTATGTGTCTAGGTTAGCTTGTGGTTTGTTCTTGTTATGCTGATTAGTTGTGGCATTGTCTAGTTTTAATGTGTTCTCATATTGTTAAGGTGTATTTTCTCGATTTAATGTGTTTTAAGCTGTGTGTGGCTGGCTTGTGGTAAGGTGCTCATGGTGCGGTCTCTTTACCAGTCTTTTATGAACACAGATAATCAGAATTAAGATCAGTTCGAAATCCAAAACTAGTTTCAAGCTTCGCTACTATTTGGTTTCACTTTCAATATTTGAACATAGGGGATCTGTTGACTGTCACTAGTCAAAAGAAAAATTATGGTTGTCTGACCAATGTGATCATTTGTGCAAAATAAGCTCCGAGTTGACCAAATCGGAGATTTAATAGCAAACTTGGTTTTGGAATTTGGGCCCTAATTTTTCTATCACCGTAGAAAACGAAAGCCAAGCTCTAAGCCAATTGCTTTTATGTTTATTTAAGTTTAAGTAGATTTAGGGGTCTTAAATAATAAATCAGCAATTTGGTGGAGTTAGTTAAAATAATTACATATGCATTAAAAAGTATTATTTAGGTCCAAAATATCCTCCAAATTCTTATTTTAAAATACCAAAATATCATTCTTAAATCAAATTATTTCTTCCACTTGGCCTTGGTGTATATATTATCAAAATAAATAAAATAAAAGGCAACATATATATATATATATATTATAATTTTTGTGTAAAATTTTTTAACGATATCTCCTAATCTCAAACCTACAAACATTAATTTAGAAATATACAAATAATTTAATGAAAATTCATTATGTATAGAACACTTTTTTTTAGTAAGTGCAAATTCATACCATATATATATATACACACACATAAAATTTTATTTGTACATAACTTTAACCATATCTATTAATTCATACCAATATATAAATGGTTGCTTCAGTAAATAGTACATCAACAATCATTTATTTCTTTATTTATAAAACAAGTGTACTTAATTGAGCCAAAAAATTGATGATCATTTCCAAACATTTTTCGTTAATGAGACGATAAATGAAATTAGTACAATAGCCAAAATTCATCATACCAAAATTACTCTGTTTTCCATACATGTATGGGGACTTCATTTGATTTATATATTTAATTATATTTTCTTTTAGGGAACTAACCTTTGATTGTCCCATTTTTTATTTTTTATTATTTGTATAAGTTATCGTGTATATATAAGAAAGTTGCAGAGTTAAAGGAAAGAAATTATTTGAAGAAAATACTTGATTTTAGAGAAATAATTTTTAGTTATTAATGCATATGTAATGATTTCATTTAATTTAACTAAAATGAAAAATGAGTTTGTTATTTAATGTTGCGAACTCTATGTAAGTGTAATTTTTCTTTTGGGCACTTAGATTCCTACCTACCTTTCAAACGTGGCATGCATCAGCACTCAGCACCAACCAAATTACATGAATGGAACATCATCCACATTATCTTTGTATTATTTTTCAAATAAATATAGAAGCATATACATACACACGCATATGCTCTCCATATTCCTTAGAATTAATCTAGCAGCCGGCAATTGCATTAGAGAGTGCATAGGTTATAGGTGTGCCTCCCTCTGCTCCTTGTATTGTTGCTCGTTTTTCTTCTATCATAGAGTGAATAAATTTTTAATTTTTGAAAATTTTCGAAATTTTTACTTTATGGTGTGAAAATTTTGGATATTTTTACTTGTTTCAAGGGAATTATTTTACTCTTTTTTATTAGTTTCAAGTTCAAATCCAAAATAACCCATAGTTATATCAAAATTATTTAATATAAATTTACTATTCCATCTGTTCCAATATACATGTGGGAATCTAACTTTATATAGTAATGGAGTTTTAATAGTTTTTTTTATTATATTGATAAAAAATAAATTTCAAATATGATCTTACTAAAAGACAAAATAGTGCTCCATAATTAGTGCACTAGTTTAGTTAAAAGGACAATTTAGAAATGTTATAAAAAATAGTATATTAATATTTTTTTAGGATATCCCAAACGGAAAAGATTGACAACTATTTTAGAATTGAAGGAGTAAAAAAATACATATTTGTACATCTATTCAATTTACCTAAAATACTGTTATATACTAGTAAATTTCAGTTAAAAAAAAAAAAGAAAAAAAAAGAAAAGAGAGAGAAGGGAATGTGAATAGTAAATACCTAACTAAAACACAAACCTTCCAATTGTCATCCTCCATTCAGTTTTTTCACCAACCCATACGCCCTCTTCTTCTTCACTTCTTTTCCCCAACAAACGTGAAATTCAAAGCCCTAAACGCATCCCAATTTCTGTATTATTTAAATCGATGATGATCTTCAAACCCTAATAGCTCAATCAGGACGATGGTGAGGTTGCCCCATGATTTCTTCCTGAACCCTAATTCGATCGTCAATGGAACAAAGCCGAACTCTTGCTTCAGAATCGTCGTCAAAGAATGCAGTAGCAGAAGATCAAGAAAGCTTGAAGGTGATTCAATGGGAAGATTTCGACCAAGAGCTCGCGCGTCTCTGGAGTCTCTCCTCTGCCCTCAACGAAGCTAAAGAAAAGAAATTTTCACTTCAGCAGAAGCTCGAGTCCTTCATACAGGTAGGGTTTTATTGGTGCAAGTGTTTGTAGTTTAATTGTTGTCAGAATTTCGGTTTTTATGCTCTGTGTGGTTGCTGAGAAAGTGGGAAAACTGAAATTGGATCCAATTTTGGGTCTGATGGTTTATGCTCTTCTGAAATCCAACGAAAGTAAACATAAAAGAGAAATTGGCCTCAATGAGGGCTAGTAGTTGTGAAAGATTGAGTTAAGTGGATGTTTAACTGTCTGAAGTCCATAAATTTATATATTCCTTTCGTTTAAAGCTTGATTTTTCATAAAAGTAGTTTTCTTTGATTGGTACACCGCACAATTATAATTTGAGTCAATCTGAAATTTTATGCTTTGTTTGGATGCTGAGAGAGCATAGGAAGAGAAATAAATATGAAATCAAATGAACAGAAAGCAACTTTAGTGTCTCATAGTTTGTGCTTTTTAACGGTTTTCAGTATTGAAAAAATAGGGAAGATAAATTCACGAGTTGTAATAGTTTGAGTTGAAAGAGAGGTTTCAGTTTCCTGGTTTTATAGCGCTGTTTGGTTGCTGAGAAAATGAAAGAAATGCAAAGCAAAAGAAAATCAAGGGAATATTTTGAATTTTAGGTGGGTATTTTTTTTACACCGAAGAATTAATAATTTGTTAGAAGAATGGAAAAAATAATGTTCAGTTTTGCTTTACTTGCTTTTCCTACATATTATTGGCAATTTAACAAAGAAATATTAAATAGTGAAATCTGCAGAAAGTTATATTTGAAAACTTATTTGTTATGTATTTCGTATTTCCTTTTTGAATTTCTTGTGCTTTAATTGATTAGCCCGCGGATTAGCGGGCGGCCACATGGTGGACAGGTGGAAGCAGAGTCATTGAATCGGTCAAATGAGCTTGATGAGATGCGTGAGAAATTGGAGTCTCGGAAATTGGTAATGGGAAACACCTTGATGCATTCGAGGGTTATAGATGAGAATGTTAAGAAGCAGGAGGAGCAGCTTAGTACCGAAATTAGGTCACTGTTGGTTGCTGGGACATCCCTTTCTGTAGCTAGTAAACGCCTGCAGGTAATATTTAATATACATTTGTTGAATTGATGCATTTTTTTCAAGGGATATTGGATAACAATTATTAAATATATACTGGACCTTTACTGATCATGTTAGTCCTAGCTACCATCATATGTAGTTCTTATAAATATATAATGATGAATAGTGTCAATAAGACTATGAGGGGGATATAGAAGTGGCAAATCAGCTAGAACTTTAAATTTGGCCTTGAAAGCCTGTTCATATTCTATATGGATGCATCTTCTTGTTCGTTCAATGCCTATTCAACCATTATTTAACATTGGCTTACAACAGGCAGGCAATCTTGTTGTAAGTGGAGTATCAATGGGTTCTGTTGTCAAATTTTAGTGTGGCTTTCTGTCTGCATCAGTGGTATTTGTTATATACGTGTGGATGCTGTGTGTACTCACGTGTGATTGTAGACCTTCGGTGAGCTTTTAATTTTGACGATTTATTTTATTTGGATGTAAGGAGTACTGTGCTTGTAGATTTGCTGACTAATTTTTATTTTATTTTATTTTTGTAAAGATAGCATTACAAGCTATTTCTAATTGACTTTGTACTTAAAGGGTAAATTTTAATTGATATGACATGAAGGATGAAAGAGTGATTTGGTTTGTTACGCCATACAAGTTCAGATTTGCTGGACAAGTACGGGGAATGGTTTTTGGATATGAGACAGTGTCAATTTGGAGGAAATGAAGTTATGGATGAAATATGAGTATATACCTTTCGCTAAAATGAAAATTGTTATCTACTCATTGTTCTAACCCAAGAAGCACTATAGTGATTGGGGGCATGAACAAGGAGATGGAATTCAGGACCTCAGGCTAAGGTCTTTGATGTCAAAACTCTCTTGATTTCAGAACCTTGGTGTAGGGCTATATTTTATTTCAGTCAAATGGTGATCTACGTCATATTTGTAATTGATGAGACTTTCTTGTTGGTACCGAGGATCAGAATAATATCAAAATGGGTCTATTTTCACTGAGCTTCAAAACCTGTCCTTGTGCAGTTGGATTAGAGCTCATTTACAATTATGGGATATTTGGAAGGTAAGTCCGTGGTGGTTACTGTGAAGTTGGGGGATTAAATGATTGGTATGGGCTGTGGATCTTCAGTCACTAAAGACAAGGTCCGTAGTCATGATTATAGCTGGTCAGGGTTCTGATTTCTTGCTGGATTATGAGGCGAATAGAAATGTATTTTTAGTTGATTAGGGAGATCCCTGTTAAATAACTTAAATGTAAATTAAATACACAATCATTACTATCTACCACGTAGGAGTATATAAAGGGTAATTGCTGGTCGTTTGTAGTATGTGGTGTTGTATTGACGTACCTGAAATGTTAATGTTCTTGGGAGACCCCTCTTTTTGTTTTAGTTCAAAGCTGGTCCCTGTTTCATTTTCATTGATTTACTGTTGTGTGCATCTTGTGCAGTTGCTTTCGAATAAGTAAGTTACTTTTATATATTACTCATTTATGAAGCTAATTACCCATTTATGAAGCTAATTATCATTTGCAAGTTCATTTTGAATGTTTATTTCTGTAAAGAGTCCGTAAAATTTTCTCATTATTTGTCATTTTTCACTTTTTTGGGAGTTGGATGCAGGGTAAAGTTGCTAGCATTTTCTTACTTCTGTGCCACTGTATGTCTGATTATGTTCTTTATACAGGAAGCAAATAGGTTACTTGCTGGAGAAAGGGGTTATTTTCATCTTAAAAGTCTGCAGAAGTTGCTAAGAGTGAGGCAACAATATATGGTGTCACAAGTTTCGTTGCTCTATCCTGTAAAAGTCGTGATTGGACAAGGACAAGAGCATGAACTTGAATCATTTACCAGTTGTAGTAGATCGGGTAATACTCTAATTAATTGAACCTTGTGCTAACTGAGGTTATTTACAAACACACACAAACATACATATATTTGTGGCAATAAACTGTAATGAAGAAATTTAGCATATTTCCATAAGGATGTGGGGCCACACCATCACAGTTTTGTTATCAGGAAAACATTACCACATAGGTGCCCTCTTTTATTATTTATAATCTCGTACTATATTTTCTACATTAGTAGCACGGAGTTAGAGTTTCTTGAGACTCTTTGCTTATTTCCGAAAACCGTCCTGCAGGGCACACCTATGGAATTGAAGCTCAAATTTTTTTGCATCTGGCAATATGTGTCTTTGCCAGTGAAAGTATTCAATTTAGTTAAATGAGAAAGAAAGTTGGACTTTAACCCATACCTGTAGTTATCTGGCAATATGGCATTAAGAGTCTTGTTTTTCTAATTATATTTACATTTATATTTTTCACTTTTCAGAAAATTCTGCTGGATCAAAACATCTTGAGCAAGGATCCTTGACTATTTCCGGTCTGCATCTGAATATGCTCCCCTTTAAGAAGATTAGTTTTTTCACTGATAAGAAGGAGGTCCAGAGATCTGCGACTGCCCTGGGATATGTAGCACATGTTTGTTTTTTCTCTTTGCTTAACATAAAATTATTGACTAGTATATTTGCTTGACGGTATTCTTTTTAGCGACCAAAGAGCATTCAGCGAATACTCTTTTGCCACTAATGCATCTCCAAACCCATTTGATATGGGAATCTACTTTCTTAAACAACACAAATATTGAGCACAATATATGTTTATTATATATTAACCTGCATGATGTGAGATTACTGTATGTTTTCATTGTGTTTTTGTTCTTTATAAGATTTGGTCTTGTTATTGGCTCAGTTAGCTAGCTGCTGAAAAGGATTTAATTGGCTAGTTTTCCTGCAGGCTGTTTCACTTATTGCTTCCTATTTAGAAGTTCCTTTGCGTTACCCTTTGCGATTGGGAGGTTCTCGATCATATATTCATGACTATGCACCTTCGGTTGAGTCTACATCATCTGATTTGATGTTGAATTCATCACTTTCCACAAATTTGAAGCCCGTAGAATTTCCCCTCTTTTTAGAAGGTCAAGATACAACTAGAGCAGCTTATGCCGTATTCTTGCTAAACAAGGTGATCTTTCGAATGCCATATGTTGGTTCAATAGTACTTAGTTTTTGTCATGTTATTGCTAAACACACCATCTTTTAAATGCTATATGTTGGTCCAACAGTAGTCGTGTAGTTTGGAGTATGTGCCACAATGCTTTCACGGAAGCCTGATCCCTTACTTATTAATTATGCCATTATCTTTATCAATTGTTTTGTGTATCAATAGTTATAGAATTCAGGTTTCATCAATTTAGTTATCTATTGCTTCTCTCTCCCCTGGGTTTCTTTCGCTGAAGGAAAAATGGAGGGAAAATAATCAGGACATTGGAGAGAAATTATGGACAAAAATAGACTTGCAGGGAGAGAAGATAAGAGAAAATTTGAAAGAGAGCATCGAGAATACGAAAATCAGTGGTAGAATATTGTGGTTCAATCTCCAAGAGGTTCTTGTGTTGTATCTTTCAGTTCTTGTGATCCAATATGATGGATAGAGAGAGAGAGTATACTCAATAGAGTATTTCTCCAACTGAGCCAAGGCTAGTATTGAAGTGATTGGGCTTGGCTTGATCAAGTTGAGATGGTGGTCAAACTTGGCTAGTAATCCTGAGCTTGATAAGCTTCATTGGTGTTATCAGGCTTGGCTTGACAATTGTTTGGTTGGGAAGGGAATTAAGGGAGACACCCCTATCCTGATAGAGTTTACGGAAATGCCTTTTATTTTTCTAATAATTCCTATCCCTTGTATCACTTCTGCCTGTGGTTTTCCAGGGTCAGACTTTCACTCTCTCTCCCTCTCACCAAATGTGCTGCACCAATCCTTCCCCTCAATGTCCTTCCCTGTTGGAGAGTCACTGCTATTTCTGTTGCCTCAACCTTTCCTCACTGCCTCTTGATATAGCCTTTCTGTGCTTGAACGTGCTTAAATCTGAAAAAAGAGGATTGGTTTCTGCAAGGGCTTAGAGCAGCAACCTTATTGAATCTCCCTTTTACTCTTCATCTCATCATCTCTTTGATTCTATGCCTCAGTAAAAAAACAGATTTCTAAGGGGGTGCTTGGATTATGAAATTTGTTTCATTAAGTTGTGTTTCAATAATCAAATAATGTTTGTTGGGTATCAATCCTTTTTTAATCTATTATGTGCAACTGAAAAACAGATTGTGATTATATTCGATGTTAGGCATGCAAGGGTTAGAGGGGGAGGGTTTGAAGAACTAGAATCAGAGTTGGTCGGTTGCTGATGTGGTAAACTAGAAAAACTTGTCTTCAGTTTGGATGGGAATGGCAGGGTTCCTCAGCAGAACGCTGTGGGGATGGTGTGCATCCTTCATACCTGACCTGTTGTCATCCATAATTGTAATGGTTGGCCCAATGGAAGAGAGAGAAAATGGGTCTTTTCCTTTTGAAATCGGTTGACTTTTTCTTGAAAAATAATTACTAAATATGGGTATAAAATCATTAAGTGCACTCTTTGTTAACACCGACAGAAGGGAGATTAATGGAATTTCTAAAAGGATAGGAGATATCCCTGTAGTGTTGCCCATTGAAGAATGCTTCTGTCATTTTCCTTGTTTCTAACATTACTTTTGCAGCCAAACGATTTTTCGGTTCTGTTTTGGTTTCAAATTAATTTTTTTTGGGTAAATGAAGTGTATGGTTTCAAATTAATATTTTTTTGCGTAAATAAAGTGTATAGTTTTAAATTATTGGAAGTGTTTTGATTCCATGTTTGGAAATTGCTGTCCTTTTATGCAACCTTTTTCTCAATTATGTGAGCAAAGAGTGTTCACATGGTATTTAGGTTCTTTTATTAACATCTATCGGGTGAATCAATTTGTGTTTCTATTGAAGTTACATTGCATAAATTGAAATTCTTTTAGATGATTTCATCATTATTCTATGTGCTTTTTCTAAAGTGGCCTTAACATAGATATATATTTTTACTTTGCCCAATGATTTCAGGATTTAGAGCAGCTTTTGAATTTCATTGGTGTCAGGAGTTTAGGGCCACGGCATGTATTGGGTAATTTAAAGGAGCTTATAAGGACTATCCTTTCTCCAGAATACATAGATACGTGATCCAAGCTTCAAATATTGAGTGTAAGTTTCTGTAAATGGTTTATTTGTATTTTTACAAGGGTGCAAATTTTTTGGTGGAGCACCTAGCCATAAGCCTTGTCAATTTTTGCTTTAGTGCAATGGAAAATATGAATTTAAACCATGAACATTTTGTTCTGCTGTGGAGTCTGTTGTATAGTGTTTTAATATAGGGAGATGATATACACACTCCACTTAGTATTAAGAGAAAAAGGAAATGACATTATTGCCCTTCAAAAACACACCCATACAACACAATGATTACTAAGTGTGCTCTTGCACTTCTCTTTGGGGATGATGTTGTCACTTAATTTATTAAAAAATTCAAATGGGTTGCAAGTGGTGGGTAAGTGGAGATTGAATATGATATCTTTTTGGTATGGTGTCTTGATTTACTGATTTATAATCCGGCTAAAAGCACACTTGACTAAGAACATGTTATTTAGCTACTGGACTAGATTGTGGTGTACAAATACTGGACTAGGTGGCGTTACACGTGTAAGAGCACCAAAGTTAAAGTTGGTAGATTAGTTGCTTCTTGATTGTAGAGTTGCTGCAGACATTTGTACCTTTTTTATGAATCCCTTTAGAGTCGAAATAGGAGATCTTTTGACGGAGAATAGGAATCGTTATATATAAGATTGAGAAAAATTATAAGGTGTACAATATAGATTGTCAAGTTCAGTTTTTAGTTGTGTAAGCCATCCTATATTGCATACATACATGATAATGATGATACATCCATTTCACATGGTATTGATGGGTTGCACTTTTTTGTTTAAGCTCAATTCAATATTAGGACAACATCTTAGAAACAAAAACATGGATTTGAACAGAGCACTGTTCCCAAATTTAATTGATTGATCAAATAAGAGCACAAGTGAGACCCGATTGAAGCTTAAAGTACAAAGAGAACTCTTTCTAAACTTGGCTGATTCACTGAACTACTCGGTTAGAGTGATTATCATTGGGTAGGGGGAAACAATTGTCCAAGTTGCTGGCATTCTGGGGGAGGGTTTGGAAACCTGAATTTATCATCAGTACAGTAATTGTAGATCATATATATATCTTTGACACGTCGGTATAATTTTACTTGGTTGAGGGTTAGGTTCAAATACTTCTTTTTGTTCCACCAATATTCAGAAGAATAGCAAGAGTTCTGGGTCCCATTATAGACGCAGCCATTGATGGTGAAGTTTCGAAACTGAGCTATGAAGGGTGCATGGCTCCAATCAATTGTTGTTTCACCATAATAGCGAAAGACCTTCAATTGATCCAAAGCTTTTTTATTGCATATAGAAGCCACAACTTTCATGGGTTTTGTTGGATAGGGGACTCCTTTTTTTGAGTTGTTTCTGAAAACCCTAATGGGAACTTCGTCAACAGAAACTCTGTAAATCAATGGAGATTAGTTAGAAGTAGTGCAATAAAGAAGAAATATCAAGTATAATGATATGTATATATAGTACCATAAAGCAAGACATTTTTCTGTTAAAGAAAGGAACATAATGAAAATATATAAGATTATCTTTGGTTATTATTTTAAGTCACTGGAATGGGATTGAATGAATCAAAGATAGTTTGCGCTGTGAAAGTTGAGTAAATATATATATATATAAATAATTTAGCTTCTGTGCTATTGTGGTTTGCTTACACTATTTGGTGAGGGTTCCAGAGGATGGTGTAGTCATGGAAGCTTGCAGTGGGATCAAACCATAGACGGATAATCTGCTTTCTGTCCAGTGTATCAATTGCGTACACATTTGTTTGGACTAAGTATGCTTTTATCTCCCTGACATATAGGAATTCTAGTTCAACCCAATTTTCTGGAGTGTAGGTTGTGAACGATTCGATCTGCCCAAAAAAAATAATAAAAAAGTACATATATTCTTATAGTTCTTACCTAGAGGTCGAATCGAACTAGTTATATAAAATTACAAAATATATATATATATATAATAATAATAATAATTATTATTATAAACATGTGATATATATGTATTTTTGTTACCTTGAAAATTGTTGCAACTCCTGTGGAGTCATTGCCGGGGAGCTTCATACTCATGCTGAAGGAACCAGAACCATAACTTGACTTTGAAATAAATTCAGCTCCTGTTTATTTATGTAAATCATCAACTAGTATAATTAATTAGCCAGAAAATGACATAAGAAGAAAAAGACTTAGATAAACCCCTTTGAGAGCTTTGATAACTGAGGGCTGCTTCTATACCACACTGTATAGCCTATTGCTTAATGTTTGTCATGCCTTCACTCTATGGTTTCAACCATTTACTTGAACATGATAAATGCGTTTCATAATTAGTTGCATCCATTTTGTTCAGTTTCTCTCTATTTATTTCTCTCTCTCCCCTTTTTTTTTTTTTGGGCAGAAAATTCAATCAAATGTACACACGCCCACGACATATTCCTGGTATGGCTCACCAATGCCCGTTAATAATTTAAGCCGTGGCATTGCTCGTTCACTCTTCCTTCCGGATATATAGAATAATGACAACGATGCCGATAATGAAAATGAAATATCTATGAATGAACCATAAAAGAAAAAAAAAGGTAAATAATATGAATGATATATATATATATATATATATATATATATATATATATATATAAAACTAATAAGGGAATGAATTGTATAAAAGAGAAATGACCAGAGGATGGGTCAGTGAGGGAGAGCTGAACTTCTTGGCCTTGATCATAGGACTTGAAATAATCTTCTCCCCATAAAATCTCATAGTTTTCATAGAAGCTTGGAGCACACTGGTTAATTGCAAATACTTCACCAATGAATAGAAACACAATGAGACTTAATATATGCAAACTCATTGCAATCTCCTCTCTCTTATTGGGGTTGGTTCAAGAAATTGGTCTTCAACTCATACATGCATATATATATATGTATATATATTATGTATGTATGTTCAATTAGAGAGAGGAGATAGAGAGAGGCTCATGAATTCTACTAATTATTAATTATCAATGTCCTCTACATTTTGGAGCGTTGCACTTATAAACTTAGAATATTAATGGTAATTCAAAACGGTCACACATAAATAAGATATATTACAAGTAACGAATTGAATTTAGCACCTTTAGTGCAACCATAATAAACTTGTAGATGTAAATTTGACGTTATGATGAAGCATATGGACTTGTAGATGTAAATTTGACGTTATGATGAAGCATATGGACTTGTAGATGTAAATTTGACGTTATGATGAAGCATATGGATTAATTATTACAACAGTGGGATCTATTTTTCATGTGGACTAACCTCTGAAAATAAATAATATAGAGAATTTGATGGTAACTTGTGATATTTTAAAGGACCCTCTACGAGTTTTCAATTCGGTCTAGTGGTGTAAACGGATCAAATTTGAATCAAATAACAATTCCAAATTCAATTATATTAAGATTATATATTTTTTTGGGTAAATTATATCAAGCATATTTTTGATTGATGTCTACCATATATATATATATATTTTTCACCCTGCCAGTCCCCAAGTAGCATAAATACAAGCCTCAGTGATATGGATGAATATTCTAGAGGAAATTTGTACATACTTTAAGATGTAGAAAATATTCTAGAATCGTGGAGATTTTTTAGATGGTAAATAATTAATACTTTATGTATAGAGTTTTAGTGGAAGGAGGATGTCTGTAAATAGGTGTAGAGATTATTTTAACCAATAAGTTCGAGAAGGAAAGTGCTTTTGCTCTGAGGAGTTACAACCCCTAATGAAAGGGGGAGGAAAATGTATGAAAATAATAGAGTATTGCAATATGATAGCATGTAGCGGTTGAATATATATGCCATTCTGTATTTGCTCAAACCAAATAATTTTCTGTTTTATAGATTTTATAGGCTTGATGGTACTTCGACCAAAAAATATTTATCAAAACATAAAAAAATCAAAAGTAGAGTTTATATGTTTTGTTTGATTAATATAAAATAATTGTCAGTTTAGTCGAGTTTATAGGTTTGATTGTACTGTGTTAAAAAGAATTATCTTTTTAGTTCGTTTGAAAAATGTAAACAATTTATTATTTAATATATAGCATAGAACATTAAAAAAAAACATACATTTGTTTGATCTCCTCTACAAATCAACTACGGTATTTAATACAATACCCACTTAATTTGGGTTTGAGGGGGCTACTTAATATGTAAGAAACAAAATTACATTATAATTTCAGTATTACATAAGATTTGGAATTGAAATTAGTGAATTTGAACTAAAATTTTTTCCAAGTTCACCAATTTCAATTTTAAAGATTTAATTTCAAAGGATTAAGACATATTTATATGTATAAGTTTCAACAATCTCTTTTTTTTTTTTTGCTGTAAGGAGTTTCTTTGTGATAAGGCTCTCCTCATCAATAATAATGTGTAATAAAAAATAAAGCAATTTACTTTTTAACTTTTATATTCAAAATTTACACATATCATTTTATAACTGTTACACATTATTGGTACGAGGAAGATTCTTACCCGTGAGTGGACACAAATTTTGTTAGTTGTTGAATACCCCTACTTGTTTGATGTACCGAATTACCCCTCTCGAGATTATTACTTGCGGAAATGTTCAAATTCAAGGAACTCCATATTTTTCGCCTTGAAAAAGATTTTTAAACTGAGTTTTTTGATAAGTGGTGGTGCCTGTGGGATTGAGGAACAGCTTGTATTGATTCTAGTACCGAGAGTTTACGAGACCTATTACGGTACATATTTTGAAAGGGATACAATCTTTTTTATTAAAAAATAATATGTACAAGCCGATTCAATTTAGGATTTTCATCATGTTGTATGAGTTTTAATGTTTCTCCTATTTTTAGACTTCTATGTTAGTCCGGTGCACTAATCAAGGTTAATTTTAAGAGTGCCTTTTTAATAAAATTTTAAAACTATCATTGCACGGGTGTTTGGGTCCTGGAGTTTCATTAAATTTCAAGTTTTAAGTTCGATTTGTTTTAGGTGTGAGCAATTTTTTGGAATCACGACTGCGGACATAGTCTGAGTTTTACCCAATTCGTATGAGGGATTGCTTTACACGAGTCTCGTGAATTAATTAGAACAAAATTTCAAATACCCCGATTATCAAAAAAAAACTATCATCAATTTATTTTATACAAAACAACAGTGATCAGTAATCACAATTACAACCCATTTTTGTCTCTCTAATTTGCGTTGCCCATGGCTGATGCTATATAATCAATCACATGAATTCGCTAAATGAGGAAGATAAGACCAAATCTAACGGCAATTTCACTATGTGTGATCATAACTGTTACAGTGAAAAAAACCTATTACAGCAAATACAAGTAGGTGAGTGAGGGTGGAATTTGTAACCCGAAAGAAAGGGAAAAAAAAAAAAAAAATTGATCACTAAAAACTATTTTATTCATTAAATTTGTTATTTTTTATTAAATTAAATTATTTTATTATATTTTCTCTTATATAAATATTTATTATACTATTTACCTTAATTTTAATATTAGTATCAATTTATCATATAAATGAAAAAAATAAATAGATTTGTAGCTATCATTTTTTAAAATAATTAATTTATTATTAAAATTTTATTATTTATAATAAAATATTAAATTTTCATCAATATTTTTCTACATTAAAGTTTATAATAAAATTTATTACACCCAGTTTAAAAAATTTTAATGTAGAAAAATATTAATGAAAATTTAATATATCACTTAAATAAAAAATATCTTCTTTTTAATGTAATATATACATGAAAAATTAAGAAATTAATTAAATTATTTTAAAATTTTCTACTTAAGATTTTTATTTAAATAATTAATTTCAAGGGGTATTATGCAAATAAAATGAAGAATATGTCAACAAATTAGTATTAATTTTTTTCATAATGTATTTAAATAAAAAAATAAATTAAGTGTAATTCAATAAGAAATGACATTATGGTCATTTAATGTAATATAGTTTAGGGATTGAGGCATTTTGTAATAAAATATGATAGTTGAAGGAATTTTATGCACAAAATATAATTGAGGAGATATAATTGAGGAGAGTTATTTGCAAATTCAAACATTGATTAGATATTTTTTTTTTGTACTTTACCCCAATATTTAATATGAGTATGGCTCCTAAGACATCCTTCCCATGAGGGAAGTTTTCTATTTTTTTTTTTTTTTAACTTAGATACATTAAATAATTGATTTAACTTTTTATACATTTTAAAATATTGATGGTTAAATAAGAAAGACTCTGACTCTTCTCATGAGTGTGGGACCTCTTAGGACCATTACTCATTTAATATTTTTTGGCGGCCCATTAATTACAAATTTGGAGATGGTATGTAATAAAAAATGAAAATAATTTTTGCACCGAATAATTGTAATGAATTAATCTATTATTTTTAATTGGTCATTTATCTAACAAATAAGAGAGTGTGGCCCTTCACTTATTTATATTTAGGATAAATAACTAATAAAAAATCATTAGGTTAGATAATTCACTAATGCAAGTCTTGGTATTGTATAAGTATCCCTATTCAAAAAAAAAAAAATTGGTAGTTATTTTATTTTTATTTTTTGTAGGTAAGTACTTAAAAAAAAAAAAAAAATTACTAATTTTGTTATCGTATAAAATCAAGGAAAAAAAGGGACTGTGTAAAAATCTTATAATTCTAGGGTTTTGTTACTGCTTCTCCGAATTCTTCTCAACCTTTCTTATCTGGTGTGTATATATATATGGGATAATATTCTACAATAGCTTTGGGAGAGTGACCAACCCATAATTGAAGCACACTGAGATCATCTTCTTCAAACCCAAAATCATTGGTATTGTAAGACTTTTCGTCATCTTGATACCATTTGCGTAGTATGTGTGTGTGTATATATATATATATATTATATATAGCACATGACCATTCACGTTTGAAGCACCCTAACATGATTTTTCAAGTTAAATCACATAGATTTTTTGCATGATAGGGCTTGTTTGTTTTCCTTTCTTTTTTTTTTTTTTTTTTTTTCGAGTTAATTTTTTATTCATGTAATATTTTAGCATTGGTTTTTGGGTATATTTTGTAATGTCGAGTCTGATGAATTGCAATTTGGGGATTTTTAATTACAATTCGAAGTATAATGTTCTTTTAACTCTTCATGTTGGCAGAGAGGATTTGTTCTGTTTTGGTAATTGTGCTATTGTGATCTACCGTAGGCTAAAGCCCCGAACCTGTAATGTTCTTTCTTATTTGTTTCTACAATTTAAGTACTAATTTACCTTTACTTATCTTTTCAATATAATCCAACATTTTATTTATTTTCTTCAATTAGTTTTTCAACTTCTTTGTTCACAGCATATCAATCTACTAAAATGGCGATTGATTTTTTGTTTCTTAATTACTTCCTAAGTATTAGATGTAGTTAAGTAAAGCCTAGTGTAACCCCAAAATATTAATAATAATAATCCTAGTTGTGTCGCATCCTAATTAATAAAACTAGTTACATTAAAGTGTTAACCTCCTAGCTAAACAAATTCTTAACATAATAAAGAACTTTTTTCTTTTTTGTTTCTTTTTTCCTAATTCAAAACTGAAATTAGGATGATTGCGAATTGAATAGAGGAGTGATAACACAATTCCTAATTATTTTAAAATCCCAATATAATTTGTTTTAGTTTCTTATGAAAACTAATTTGGTTAGCTCCTCGTAATAACAAATTTTCATTTCCAAAGTTTGTGTGAAACTCCAATATTTTCATTGGAGAAAAGTAGACTCCAATATCTCTGCCTTCGCAAGAGTCAACATATTCATACATATTTTATGACGAAAAAGTTCAAATTCTCCAATCTTTTCCAGAATGAATGACTCGAATATAATTTGGTGTTAATTATGTAATATATGTGAATGGTATATGCATTTATCAAGTGGGAAATTTGGTTGTGTGTGTGTGTGTTTTTTTATTTTTTTTTATTTTTTTATTTTATGCTCAAAATGTTCACAGTTGTCTTCATTTCAAGTTCACGTAGATGGAAGTGCGAAAATGGGAAGACCTAAACATGGATTGTTTGGTGAATGCATTTGGGAGATTGGGAGTAGAGTCCATGCTATTTGACGTTCCCTTTGTATGCAAGTCATGGTACAACGCAACTCTCGATCCTTTATGCTGGCAGCATCTTGATTTTCCACGTGAAATCTCACACTCCTTCAAATCAAGATTAGTGGATAAATATGGATTGGAGAGGTTTGACACAACTGGATTGATTAAGTTTGTTGTCAATCGTAGTAGTGGATATGCCGTTTCACTAGTTCTTCCCAGCAGTTCTACTAAAGAGACATTGATTTGTGCCGCAGAAGGGTAAGTCATCATGTTTTTAATTTCAATTTTAGACACTTGAATACCACCATTGGAGTTTGAATTTGAGAAGTTAAAAATGAAGCATGAGTAACACAACTAGAAAACAAGAAAGATAAAAGAAAATAAAATCTATACCTTATATGGTAATTTGAAAATAAGTATCTTCATTTTGTAACTCTACATGGTTATATGATTTCGTAAATCCCTTTTATTTAGAAGTATTGTAACCACTTCCAATTATTTTTGTGTTCCAAAATTTCATTAATTCATCTATATTGTTTCTTTTAGGCAATTTAGTTTTCAGGATTAATGAAAGGAAATGAAAGATGTGCAAAGGAAGTCCTCCTTTTTGATGTTTGGTTATCATGGAACGGAACAAAAAGAAGATAAGAGGGAAAGTAGGGGTGAAATATCCTAGTTTTCATGTCATTTTCCTTTTCTTTTTCTTTTTCCAAATCATATTTTAACAATTCCTTGCTTTCTGATCTCTGATCTCATTTAACCACTAGAGAAAATATGGAGGAATCAATTCTTTTTCCTTTTCCTTTGCCTCACTAAATTCTTTAACGAAACAGAGCCTCATTTTCCGAACTGTCTTCGTAGAGCTTGAAATCATTCTGTTGTCATATCAGTTTTGATAATGAAGCCGTCACCATACTTCAATTATTTTTTATTTTTGCCTATGCTTGATATTTAGTGTTAATATATGAAACAAATCAATTTAATGGAAAATCTGTAGAATGAAGCAATCTGAATTTAGAATTGTTGTCCCTTTGTCTGTGGGGAGGAGACCTAGATGACCACAATTTACCACTTGAAAATTTCTTACTTTCTTACCTTGTATCCGGCTTTAAAAATTAAAAATAAAAACAAAGAACTGATAAATTTTACTTCTGAAGAAAAATGTAGGAATTTTTTTCTCACAATGATTTCTGTTGTTAGGTGTCCTGCCTTAAAATTTTTGACGCTGTCTTGTCTACTCGAGAATGACACCGTTGAAGCGTCCTTTGTTGCAAGTCTTATAAGAAAGTGGAGAAACTTGCAGATGCTAAGGCTTGGAAGCGGCTTTGATACGGAAGAAATCCTTACCCAAGTCAGCCTTCATTGCAAGGATTTTGTTGATTTTGGCCATTTCAGATTAAGTAGTTCCAATTCCATATCCGTGATAAGAGATGACGAGATATGGGTTATAGTCACCTTACTGCCAAACCTCGAGTACTTGGATCTAAGGCGGACGAATCTACATTGGCTGAATCTTGAGAGGATTTTGAAGCGCTGCAAAAAACTTGTGCATCTTGACGTTAGGGATTGCATAGGTTTCGAGGTTAATGAGAAGATATTGAAGCTTGCGAGGGTTCAAGAGCGCGGCGTCACCCGAACTCGAGCGATGATGAAGACTGTGGTTATATTTTACCTAGACATAGTTTTGATGACAGCTCTGATGATAATGATCACAACTTTGATGATGGTCACAGCTCAGATGATATTGATTTCGACTCCGTCTTTCTTTAGTTTTTTAAAAATTTTCATGGTTCATAATTGTAATAGTTGTGATTCAGTTCGGCTACTCCTAAATTATTACTATTTCAGGACGCTTCTTTTCCCACAGATTGTAACCCATATTTCTCTCTTGTTAGTAAGAAAAATATATTAATAATTTCATTCATAAGTGGGGTTGCAGGAGTAGGCATGTGTTAACAAAGGACATATTAACTCACAAGGAGCAAGAGCTAAAGCAAGAGAAAGCAGAAAAATCCAAGTCATAAAAGAAATCTAAGTCATAAAAGAGTAAAGGCGCGCAGATCCAGGGTGGGCTTGAGCCCGTCCAAAAAATAATAATAATAATAAAAATAATTTTTTTTTTTTTTACTAGAGGTAATTTTTGTCCAGTCCAAAAAAAAAAAAAAAATAAAAAAAAGAAGAAGAAAGAAAGAAGGGGCGCCAGAACAAACTATGCACGGAGTGTGAGAGTCTAAAATTGGGTACATATTCACAGTAAGGGTTTAAGTACCGTTCTTTAATTTTAATTTATTTTATTTTTAATTAAAAAGAATGGGTCAGTTTATTGGTCCTAGCAAAATTTAAGTATAGTATGTTAACAAATGAAAGTTTTTTTTTTTTTTTTTTTTTTTTTTTTTTTTTTTTTTCTTTTTATTATTTATTTATAAGATTAAATATTAAGAACTAAAAATTTTAAAATTGAATTTAAGTATTGAAATTTAAACCATGACAATAATTTGAGATTTTTTAATATATTTTTAAAATGTTAAGTGTTATGTGTCATAAATTTAAGTGAAATGTAGTAAATTTTTGGTGGTGTCGTTATCAAACCCCAACACCACCAAAAGTGTTTATTCGTTATACAAAATTAAAATTAATTGAAAGCAGTCAAAGTAATATTTTAGATTTAAAATTAGAGATTTTTTTTTTTTAAATTTAAAGTGTCAATTCGGTGCTTCCAAACATATTATAAATGTATAAATTTCAAAATTTTAGGATAGTTTGGTTAAATAAAAATATCAAGAAAGAAAAGGAAATGAAAAATTTTTAAACACTTAAAAAGTTTGATTAGCAAGAAAAGAAATTCTTCTAACAAATTACCAACAGGTGAGTGGCCTATTGGTATCAGGTTCCTACTTTGTAAAAGGAAGTCAAAGTTCGAGCCTTAGCAGAGACATGTGAAAAAAAAAATTTCTTCTAAAAAATTATTGGCGGTTATGAAAAGTAATTTTTGCTATTTTTTGTTTTTTATGAAAAATTATAGACAATTTTTTATTTTATTTTTGACAAAGTTTTATGAAGTTATGGTAATACCTTTTCTTTTATGGTAAGTCTTATAATTTTTTTTAGGATAAATTACACAAATCACCCACGAGGTTTCTATATTATGCATGTAGATAGAAGTTATAGCAATATCACACAAAGGTCCTTATTGACCGTTTGACCACAAAAAATCAATATAAAGTTACACTTTTGACCTAAATTAAAACGTTTATTTTTAATAGTTACATGTTTTTTTTTTTTTTTTTTTGGTACTATACTTTCTACATATTAATGATCATAGCAAAAATGATTTTAATTTCTTTGATTTTCGATTTTGAAACTCTTCTGGTGGGTTTTAGTAGTTGAGTATGGACTTATCAATAATTCCTTAAGGCATAGTTTTACATCCATATTTGTTTCTTGTTCTGTTTGTTTGTTTGGACGTAAAATAATTTTTAAAATTTTTTTTTTTTCATTTTCAAGCAAAATATATGTATATATATATATATATATATATATATATATATATATATATATATATATATATTTCAGTATTTGGCAAATGCATAGATTGAGATTGAAGTCGAACCTATCCTGCAGGGTATATAAAATAACTTATACGGAAAATTTATGAGTAAATGAATTTTAAAACTATTAAAAATAAATGCTTTAATTTTAAGGTCAAAAGTGTAAATTTATATTAATTATTTGTGGTCAAACGGTCAATATGGACCTTTGTGTAATATTGCTATAACTTCTATCTACATGCACAATATAAAACATCGTGGGTGTTTTGTGTAATTTGCCTTATTTATTATTATTTTTTTAAATGCTAATGAAAAATAGGATGATTTATTTTAATGTTAATTTCACCTAGACCCCCTAAGGTTGGCGCATATTTCACCTAGATGAAGATTTGGTTTTTAACGACCACTTAGACCCCAATTTGTGAGTTTGTATTTCACTTACATCCCAAATGTCAATTTGTAGTACTTTTTAGGTATAAAATGACAATTCTACCCTTTTGACCATATGTTGACTTAAAAAAAGTGTATTTCAAATTTTTCATGACAAAAATACCCTTCAAGTTTTTCATCACAAAAATACCCCCAAATGAGCTTACCACCGTTGCCTCTGCAATAAATTATTTTTTTCTCGACAATGACCATTGCTAATAAAAAAGAAAATTTCAAAATTTTCACTCTTATTTCTTTCTTAATTTATTAATTGCCAAAAAAGTGAATTTCAAAATTTTCAGTTCTATTTCTTTCTTAATTACTTGAATATTAACATGTAAAACACCTGTTAAAAAAAAAAAGCCTGTTTCTTTTTTTTAAAAAGCCTTTAAAGCAACTGTTACAATCATGTAAAGCAATTAATCAACAAATTTTAATTTAAATTTAAAACCTGTAAAAGAATTGTAATTTTTTTAAGCCTCTAAAAATCAGATGCTGATACAGTCCAATTGCATATACTGCTGCTGTAGATTTTTTTTTAAACCTCTAAATCAGAACCTGTTAGAGGATTGCAAAATCAGATGCTGATACAATCCAATTGCATATACTGCTGCTGCAAAATTTTTTTTAAACCTCTAAATCAGAACCTGTTAGAGGATTGCAAAATTTTAAAACCTGTTACATTCCAAAATATATCAATACTTGATAAAGTCTCAAAATATATCAATACATTCCCAACATAAAGTCTCAAAATACATCAATACACTCCCAACTTAAAGTACAGAATATCATAAATACCAAATACCAAACTTAATGTACTAAATAACTGCCACAAATAGAAAATGCCATCAAATTCATTCCATCTCAATGGTGTTAAGCTCTTACTTCCTGCTGGTGCAACATGAAGGCTGAAATAAAACAAAAAATATTTATTACAATACAATTATATTCCTGAGAGCTTTGTGTTTTGTTGTTATTAGGATCAATAAATGAATTACATACCTGAGAGCCTTGTGTTGATGTGGCTTGAGTTGCTCTTGTTGCTGCTGCCCTACCGGAAGCCTAATATGAAAATTGAAATGAAGAAATCTTTATTGAAATGTGAAAAAAAAAGAAAAAAAAAATTGAAATGAAGAAATCTTTATTCAATGAATTTAGTACCTCAGAGCCTTGTGTTGCTGCGGTTACTACTCTATTCCTTTTTGATCTTTTTGGTGGATGTCTTCTTCCTCCTACTTTTGGGCCTGCTGTTGTTGATGATGATGATGGGCCTAATGCTGCTGCTCTTGCCTGTTTTGTAGTAGGAGCCTTTTGACATCCCCTCTTGTTGTGTCCAAAATGTCCACATACACTGCACTGCACAATAGTTGACCTTTTCTTTGCTTCTGCTTCACCATCCTCCCTCTTCCTTGACACTCTTGGTCTACCACAGGGTCTTTTGAGCTTTGGTGGATCCAATTCAGGTTTGTCAACCTCAGTCCACATACTTTCATCATGCATGGGGTGGATGAAAGGAGTGTAAGTCTTTGTATATGTATCCTTATTGTAGAAATCTGAACATAACTTCTCAATATCCACCCTTGTGGTAGTAATGGCTGCACATGCATGCATACGAGGAACTCCACTCACCTGCCATTCCCTACAACAACAAGTCTTCTCCCCAAGCATAACAATATAACTGTTCAGTTTTGCATTATCACTTACCTTATACACACCTTTAGCGGGCCATGTCAATTCACATGTACCAGCTTTGGATATATTGGAGTTTAATCTTTTCTTAATTTTTGGCACTACCGTGGTTGTCCAATCTGCTGTCCTTCGAAACCTTTTGTTGAATTTGGACATCACCTTTGTTCTTATACATTCAAAAACAGCAGTGATTGGTTTTGCTCTAACATTCCCAAGCCAAGAATTAAATGACTCCACATGATTATTGGTGACATAGTCACATTTCACCCTATCATCAAATTTGTGTCTTGTCTATGTCTCCAAAGGATGCTCCATCAACCAAATTGAGGCATCCTGACTAATTGACTCAATCTGCCTCATTGCAATTTTGAAATCTTCTTCATAATATGCATTTACAGCTTCCCAGAATAGTTTCTTGTACTTCACACCTGGCCACCGTGTCCTAAAGTTAGCATATATATGCCTGCAACATTTCCTAGTTATTGCTTGTGGAAAAATTTCAGAGAGAGCAGTTAAAATGCCCTTTTGACCATCTGACATAAAAGTCCATGGTATATTAGTTGTTGTTGTATCACCTAGGAATTTATGCAAGTGATCCAGAAACCATTTCCAACTGTCTTTAGTTTCAGACTAAACTACAGCTACTGCAAATGGATATAATCTATTATTTCCATCAAGTCCTATTGCACTCATCAAAATACCCCCAAATTGCCCCTTCAAAAAACAACCATCAATACCAATAAATGGTCTGCAACCATTAATAAAACCATTTTGACATGCTGCAAATGATAAAAAAAGTCTCTTGAACTTGGGAGGGTCATCTATACTTGGTTTTATAAAAATTAAACTCCCATGATTAGTTTTAACTACCTCAGCTGCATATTTCCACAGCTTTTTATATGAAGTAGAATGGTTCCCTAGAATCTGATCTCTTGCTATATTTCTAGCCCTCCAACAAGCACTAGTTCTTACAATTGCAAGAAGTTTTTCTCTAACTTCTTCTTTCACATCTTTGACACTAATTTCAGGATTCCTTTTAAACTTCTCCATAAGCTTTTTTGCTATAAAAGGAGCAGTCACACTCTTGAGCTTACTTATTCTGATGCAAGTGTGCTCTGGGCCTACAGACTTCACCTTATATGTCAACTGATCAGCCAATATAGTTGCATGATTTCTCCAACTGCAGCCTTGGTTGGCACAGTGACAAGTAATTCTACCAGTCTCATTTTTTTCCCTAGCAAGGTTAAAACCTTTTTGGACTGAATACTCCACCAAAACCTCTCTGAAATGGCGGATGTCATAAAAAATATGGCCCTTCTCAAATTCAATTTTTCCCCCTTCAGCATATTTGAACAACT